TATATAGCAACACATTTCACATTTCCTTCCTCAGCCTGTGAGACCATAGTGGATTATAAATGTTGCTGTGTGGAGGGACTGAGACTGCATCATGCTCACATCTCCCATTCTTGTTTTCCAGTCACGTTATTGGACTCCAGATCTGTACAGGGGGAGCTGGGATGGGTCGCCAACCCGACAGAAGGAGGGGTGAGTAGGCTACTGCAAAGAAGTGTCCCCTTGTTAGGAATGCATGATCCCCTATTGAGCAAAAATGGAGAGATAATATGCTTTATTGGCAGGAGCTCTTGAGTGGACCTTCAGTTAGATACACAAACTACTTTGATAAGACGTTTGTCCCGGGATGGCCTTTACGGGAATATCTCTGTCCATGATTTATTGTGCAGCTGTCTGCACTGTAGGGATATTAGACTCAGGGTGAGGACCAGGCGAAATTTCCAGTATCATACTCTGAAGTATGGATGAATCAGACTTTGCTGTTTTGTTTGTAGACCTCCTGGATCACTCCAGGGCCCCTTGGGGTCCCCGGAATTCACTTTGAGAGCCACGAGGTCTATAGGCACCCGTCTCTCCCCCTTTTCTCCTCGATCCCCTTCTCTCTAACCACTCTGTAATGGTCAGATGCTGGGGCCGATACTGCAGCGGGCGTCAGGTTTCCTGAATAGACGGTGGATTGAATCGGTCTTTGTGGAGAAACTTTATATCCCTTTCCACCATTGAGTCGTAGAGAGGGGGAGAGGAGGGGAGGAGGGGAGAGAGGAACTTGGCAGCTGAGAGAGGGTCCTCTGGAATGGATGAATAAGGGGGAAAGTGCAGTGGGGTCCAGCTCTTGCCGCAGGACGACTGGGTCGGGCTGTAAAGCAACGTGGAATCGGATTGACCCAATGTGTGATCCCTCAGTCTAATTGGGATATCCACAGTGTCTCTTAGTGGGGAAAGAATAGGGTCTGCAGTTAGGCTGCAGTGAACCTGATGTGCCACTGACAGTAGCTTGTTTGAGAGAGGTGAGGTCTAAATCTGAGTGTATACAAAGAGCCCAAAAGTGACTTAAATTTATAATTGTCCATGGACTCAAGCTCAAACCTTTTCTGAAGGTCACTACAAATTAGCAACAGTAATGTCAACTAATTAATATGAATCCTGGGGAACAGAGTTTCACCTCATGCACATGTTGCAGCCTTTGCTTCACAAAGCTTTCCATAATCAGCCTGGCTGGTGCTGAGCTCAGGTCCTCCCCTGGCCATTTTATCACAAACAAGTGATTGACAGGGTCCCGGCTGCCCCCGTCAAGCCCACATTCACCCTCTCATTACGACCAATTGGCCTTATTCTTCCTCTTCCCCGCTATCAGGGGAAGGTGCGGCGTTATCTCAGCACCGCTTGATTTCCACAACAAAAGGGGGGCTACAGGAGGAGGGCAGAGTGAGATGGAGCAGCGGGGAATGATAGACATTTTCTCAAATCATACAGCTGCAGCTATGTTTAGCATTATCCCACCCTTCTCTGGGGAAATAAAGCTTTAAGCCAGATTGTTTACGATAAGGCCTCAAATCAAATCTGGCAGCATAACCTATATCTTCCACGGCCTCGTTATTATTATTTTTTTGCTCAGTGTCTAGATGGTTGAAGCTACGGCAGCCAAAGGCCTGTCTGCTCCGTTTACAGCCCAGCTCACTCAAAGACTCTATTTAAAACACACGGTGAAAAACTTGAGGGTACACAACGCTTTGAGCCTCTTAATACACGCTCCACAGTGCTCTGTTGAGAGGGGAACTTTATCACAAGTAAAACAAACATGGCTCTTGGCAAAAATAAGACAGGCCTCGCTGGATAACGTAATCCATGTGCCCCACGTCAGCGTCTCCCACTCGCTCCCTACAAGTTCTAACTAACAACAGCGGTGAACGTTTGCGCTGTCTCCCAGCCCCCATCATGTATGCAGATGTAAAACAGGCACATATTAGATCATTAGCATTGGTTCAGAGAGACCTTTACTTTTTACATGCACACACAACCCCCTCTTTTCATTCTATCCTCCTGATACCCTGAGCCATCCAGGTGTGTGTGTGTGTGTGTGTGGGTATACAACATTTTGTATACTTAACTTTAGGCAGCTCCTATGCATAGAACTAATTACAAATGTCCTTTCTCTCACTTAGGGAAAAACCATGAATATTAACATCTTTATGATTCTATTTTAGGGTCTAACAAGTCTATTAGGTGCCACTGATAAAATATGCATAAAGTTTAGCCATCAATTTATCGCTCTGGTGAGACTCAAATATTGACTAATCTTCATGTTGTTTTACTCAGTATCATTCATTCTTTGTATAATCTGCCTCTCAGTCATGTGTAATACTCACACAGTCTATTTTGATTAGGAGAGCCTTTAGTTCTGATACTTTTCTGATGTTTTTATCCTTTAACAACACTTTCTCCCACAATTTTGCTTTTGTAATTTAAGTATGAATTCAGATGTTTATGAATGTCCTTGTAACATTTTAATGTTCTGGCCTTTCCCCAGTGGGAGGAAGTGAGTATTATGGATGAGAAGAACATTCCCATTCGGACGTACCAGGTGTGTAACGTCATGGAACCAAACCAGAACAACTGGCTCCGCACTGACTGGATCCCCCGCGGTGGTGCTCAACGAGTCTACATTGAGATCAAGTTCACCCTCCGAGACTGCAACAGCCTCCCGGGGGTCATGGGAACCTGCAAGGAAACCTTCAATCTTTACTACTATGAGTCCAACAATGACAAAGAGCGCTACATCCGTGAGAACCAGTTTGGAAAGATCGACACCATTGCAGCGGACGAGAGCTTCACTCAGGTGGACATTGGTGATCGCATCATGAAGCTGAACACAGAGGTGCGAGATGTTGGCGCCTTGACCCGGAAGGGCTTCTATTTGGCCTTCCAGGATGTTGGAGCGTGCATCGCTCTCGTGTCTGTCAGGGTCTTCTACAAGAAATGTCCTTTAGCAGTGCGCAACTTGGCCCAGTTTCCTGATACCATCACTGGAGCCGATACCTCCTCACTTGTGGAAGTTCGTGGCTCATGCGTGGATAACTCAGAGGAGAAGGAGGTTCCTAAGATGTACTGCGGGGCTGACGGAGAGTGGTTGGTCCCCATTGGGAACTGCCTGTGCAACCCTGGATATGAGGAGCGCAATGCAGAATGCCAAGGTAAGGAAATGACATTTGTCTTGATTTTTTTGGGCTGACTGGCTGTTTTTGACACTGCCTATCTGTACTGTATCCTACCTCTTCTTCACTTCTACCCCTCCTCTTGCGCTGTCTCCCTCTTAATGCCTGATTCATTCTCTTTGTCCTCTCCACCCTCCTTCGACTCAGCTACCTCTTGCGCCGTTGGATAATTTTCCTTTTCGCTCTCCCATTTTCTACAACCAGTGTCTGGTTGGATGATAGGAGCAATGATGATTGTAAATGGAGTAATTAGTGGGCCCACTGGGAGGTGTTGTGCAGTGGGGTGCATCCCAGGAGAATCGGTGACACTGGGAGGGGAGACTCGAGATCCAACTGGTTCACACTACCGCCTTGTCTTTCACCCCCACCTGCTCTTTCTCTTATTCCCAATGGAGCCTGAAGCTGGGAAAATGAGATAGACAGCTTTATAGGAAGGGAAGGAGAGAAAGAGTTTATCATTCCAAGCAGGTATGAGAAGAGTGAAAATACACAGCTGTGAGATGGAGTTGGAATGGTGTTATTTGGTGGGGGGGAATGGCCTTCGTGGACGATTATTCTAGTCTCAGCTCGCTGTGATCCTACACAGGGCTGCTTGATGAGGTTTTAAGGTCAGTGTACAGTGCCTCTGACAGAGGCCTCAGTATATTGGTGAGCTCAAATCATAGCCTAGAAATGTCTACAAACCTGCCAAGACATCTTTCAAAACTTCTGCTTTTAGAGGTTTCAAGCTCAGGCTGTTATTATGATTGGCACTTTTGATAGACTCTTAGCTAATTTAACTGGCTTGTTTCATAGCTCACAGTATTAGTTTATGCTATGCAGCACTGTATTGTGGACAGCATCCAGTAGTATCCAGCAGCTGTTTTGTGGATCACATGCAGCATTTTGCCAAGCCAGGGCTCGGTTGTCAGCTGGCCAGACGAGTGGATGCTAATTCTGCCACGATTGGTTTACAGCAACCTCCACCCGCCACCTTTACACACGCAAAAAAAAGCAGTGGGCCACAGCAGTGAGGGGTCAGAGGCTGGGCACGGGTGATTAACAGTGGGATGGACCACTACACTTCCCCTAATTTACAAGGGAGCCTTTATCTTGGAGGACTAATTGCATGACAAACAGGTCTGGTGATTTAAGGGCACTACTGGCTGCTTGGGGGCGGGGTTGGTAAAGGGGTACAAGTGGTCACAGATGGGTTTGTGTGCACGTGTATATTTGTTCCAAAAGAAAAAGAGTGTTATTTAAGCTTTATAAATTCTTGTTGTCCATCTTCGCTGTCGCTTGGCTCAGATGGCTGCGGCCAGGTTTCTGTCCTCAGGGGCGGCTTCAAAGAAGCAGAGAGAAATGAAGGGATGATTGAAGGAGACCAGAAGGTAGTTAGTTACAGACCATAGGTAAATCTCCCCAGGTTTGGCTATCTGTCATGCTGTTTACTATAATAACCTCCCATTTCAACCCTGATCTCATACTGTATATCACAACTTTAATTTGCCTGCCACATCGAAATGGACTCCTTATCTCTCCTTTAATTCCAGTGAAGATAAATAGCTGTTACCCTGCAAAGAAAGCAATAAAGGATTTGGAACCCTTGATTTTATATGACTAATGCAGTCTCGTAGTGCCTGCCAGCCTCTGAGCTGGCAGTATTGCTTTTCGAGCCAATACATCCATTTAGTTCACATATCACTGCATCTGCTTTGCTTTGTTTAACTTTGCAGTGCCAGTACATGCACTCCATTCACTTTGAGCTCCAATTAGACTGTTTAAAAAATGTTAAACATTTCGCTTTCAGTTGTACATAGTGTAACATGCACTGGATGTGATGGTGCATGGCAGCCCGTTGCGTTTGTGTGGGTCAGCTCCAGTGACTCAAGGGTTCAAGGATGGTGGCCACTGTCAGTCTTCAAGTGCACTGAAGAGCTGGTTAATATTCCTCAGTGAGTCCAGCTCTATGGGAGGCATGTTACCATGTTGACCAAGAGTTTAGATAGGAGCCAGGTTTGCAGGGAGGGAGGGGGGTTTATGATTTATTAAAAAGTGTATGAGATTGTGTCATCCCATCCTCACTTTGATGTTGTTTAAAACTATTGTTTTGAAGGGTTTGAACATGAGCCCTGTTTTGTTTGTGTGTGAGTGTGTGTGTATGTGTGTGTATTCACATACTTGTGTGTCTTTTCTTGTCTTGTGTTCGTGTGGGGTTACAAGGGCACCTTGGCCCCTGTTTCCCAGCGCAGGATGAATGGGCTCTCCTCCATCATTGTTTGGGGCAGCAGCGGAGCCGACTGAGGCTGGTGATGTTTGGTGGGTTGGGGGTGGTGGTAGGAGGGGGGGCTGGTGGTGCACGTAGGAGTTGTATTCTCCACCCCTGGCAGAGGTCAGGGGTCACCGCCTTCTGCATCCATCTTACTGCTGTGTCTGACAGGGTCGTGGATCCAGGATTGATTAAGATGTCAGAGTTTTGACAGCTGCGGCTGGGCTGTGTGCGTGTGTGTGCTCAAGATAGGCCAAGGGTGGCGAGGGTGTTCACTCTGGGCCACGGCAAGAGGGGCAACCAGGGCACTTAGGGCCAAGGGGGCCCCTGATCTAAGGCAAGGGTACTGTGTCTGTTTGCATTTGGGATCCCGTTCCCTGTTAACCACATCCCCCCACAAGCTCAGCAGGGAAAGGGTGGGGGTCAGGGTGTCCCCTCGCTCCTCATCTGGTGGGGGGGTTCCTTCTGTTGGAGGGGTGTTGATTAGGTGGTGGAAGGGAGAGATAACTAAGCGTGCCTTTAGGGGAAAATGACGATGAGAAGTTTTTTTTTCGCGGATGTGAGACTAAATCTAAAAAGATGTGTGTTCAGACAGCAGTTTTACTTTGATGTTTGTTTTCAGGAAACCTTTATTCCAGATTGCCGTCATCGCAATATATGGGATGTTTGTTTCAATGTAAACAAGCAGATGAGGAGTCTGCGTAACAGCAGTGGGATATTTAAAAAGGACGCTGAGTGTGCATGTTTGATGAGACTGCAAAATGGCAGGTCATAGTTTAGCTGAGAAGTTTCTCTCCTGCACTCCACCCGTTGTGTTGTTGTGTATGTGTATGTGTAAGTGTGTGTATTTAGGTCTCCAATACTCTCTCTCTCTCTCGCTCTCTCTCTTGTGACAGTGTTAAATATGCACTTGGGAGCATCATTCTAAATTCACCAAGTAATTCTATTTAGCCCGTCGGTCCCCAGTGGCTTCAAATAAACAGCTTCAGTCACTTTCTCTTCCTCGTTTACCTCCCCCCTCCTGCATACACACAAGTAAAATATTTGTGTGTGTCTTCTTCTTGGTTGGCTCGGTGGCTTGTTGTTTTTTTTTCCATGTCCCCCTGTCTCTTCAAATAACCTGTTGCTCCCTATGAGCTTTCTTCTTCTCTTTTCCTTTTTATCTTGAGCCATTTTTGTCGCTGAGTTTCTGTTAACAATTTTCACCCTTTCACAATCCCTCTCTTTTATCCTCCTCTGTCTTATTCTCCCCCTCCTCGTCTCTGCTCCGGCCGATGAGGTGGTTAGTGTTTGTCAGCCTGTCTCTGGTGGCAGCAGCAGGAAGTGGGCTGAATAATGAGATTACCTTCACTGCTGGGAGGGAGTAAGCTATGAGCAGCGCACGGAACGCTGTCACCCGCTGCCGTTCACACAAACGAACGTGCAGGCGCGTGTGAGTGTGCACACAGATACGAATGCAGAGAAGTATGTTTTAAGTGAGAGGGACCAGTTTGTGCATGTACACTCACCCATGTACAGCTATGCACAACAACACAAGTCCAAACACACACATGTAAGAAAGGACATGTTAAGTACACAGGCACTTTCATAAATATGTACAGCAGATGCACCCACACACAAGCTTCGCACACCCTGAGCTGAGCAGAATAGAGGTGAATGTACTCATCACTCTCGCTGCCACCAGAGAGGCTCATTTTGTGCTCCTGAATAGAGACGAAGAATCTATTACCAACAGAGAGAAGGAAAGAACAACAGACACGGAGAGAAAGGACAAAATGTCTCATGAGCAATCCTCATTATACCCTCTCCTTCCCGCTGAAATATTTGCTAAAAGCATTGTTTTAATATTCTGTTCTTGTTAAGCTCCACAAATGATGAAAAAAAAGTCCTCTCAACACTTCCCCTGACTGGACGGAGGCGGGAGGGTGCGTCGGGGGGCTTCTAGTGGTAATTCAGCCGGTCATTAGCGGAGGTGCTGAAATGCTTTTCCTGCTCGGGCTGTCGTCCTGCCGCAGTGTTTGTTCCCTTTTCAGTTCTCGACACTCATCACCTCTGTGTCTTTCTCCTTGTGGTGCCCTATTTAGAGCAGGAAGCCACCGGTGATCGAGCTTGACCCGGGCGGATGGCCATAGTGCTCCCCCAGTGCCAGCTATACACCACAGTGTGTACCGGTACGCTGCTACGAGCATCCATCTTTAAGTCATTTATTTCCTATTTGGGCTTTAAAGCTCGTTTTTTCCTATGAAAATCAAGTTCCTTTTTTTCACTGGAGCGACATGCTTTATGTTGCCTGGTTTCAAGAAACTGACACTGGTTTTCAAGACAGTGCCAGAAGCATGTCAAGCTACATTTGAAATGAGTAGAATTATTACAGCCTCAAATGCTTGGTGGAAAATATGCTCTCAGTGCTGGATATGAAACCAAATAGTATGTTGAGCTGCAAAGGTTTGAGAACTGGCTGACTAAAATGCTAGAATATTCTGTGTTAATGAATTGGCTTCACCATATTTTCTTGATCTCTTATTATTTTATATATTATATATTTTTTTAACAGTGAGGAGCTGTCGGAGTTAGATCATTTCACTAAGTTCATGTGGAGGTAAATAGCAACAGGTGTCATTTAAAAACCTGAAACTGGCTGATTTACATTGTGAATTACCTCAAACTGAACTGGCAGACAGAAAGCTGGCTTCAGCTTTCCAAAATGAGAGTAAAAAAAAAAAAAGCAAAT